GTTTTAGTAGTTGCTAAGGGCTGGGGGAGGACTGGGGAGTGACTTGCTAATGGGTGTGGGTATGAGTAAGGAGTTTCTGTTTTGAGGCGATGAAAATGTTCTGGTATTAGGTAGTGGTGATTGATGCACAATCTTGAAAACACACTAAAAATCACTAAATTGTGTACTTTAAAAGGGTAAATTTTGTGGTTAAATGAATAAAAAAGAGCAGATGGTAAGTTGGTAGAGTTGGGATTCAAACTGAGGGCTATTTCAAAAGCTCCTTAAGCTCATTTTACCGAGAGGTGGAAGAATCATGACTGTGTTGGTGAAACTTATAAACTGCAGGAGTCAAGTCTAACAAGACAATGACTTGTTAAAAGGCCTGTGTATTTTGAGGCACTAATTCATTCATTAATTCAAACTTTTCCTGCATGTCCTCAGTATGACAGGTACTCTACAACAAAGATAAATAATACACTGTCCTTGCCCTCCAACAGCTCCGTCTAGTTGGAAATAGGCATATTAACAAAATGCAATGTGAGTGCTATAAAAGAGGTATGTACACAGGAATACTTAATATAGCATAAGGATTATCTACCTCCTATTACTCTGTGTGCCTGTAGTCAGAACATGATGATGTGTATAACGGAAGATAATTTGTTATGTAAAAGAAGCCTACGGAGAATACATTCGTTAAGCCAACCAAAACACCTTCCACATCCTCCGCATCTCTGATTCAAAAGACTTACACTCAAGCATCACTTTCCGCAAACTTGCTCCTTCTGATATTTTTGCTTCTCTTACTACCACCACTAGTTTTCCAGGTACTTGGCCTTAAAATTGTAGGTATGATTGAATGTGTGAGGTTCTCTTCTTTCACTCATACATTCAATCAGTGGCCAACATGCACTGTCTCATTTCCCTTTTCCTTGCCACTAGTTTACACCCTCATTAGCTCCCACCTGGTCTAATACCATAGCCACCTATCTTGTCTCATCACAAGGGTCTCTCCCTACATGTCAGATATGGTCTGAGTTGTTTTCTGTCCAAATCACCTTCCTGTTTCAATAACTTCATTGACTACTGACTTAAACAAAACATCTTCTGTGAGGCACACTTAAGGCCCCTCACAATTTCAAAGCCAGCTGACATCTACCACCTATCACTATCCCGTGTCCTATCTGCATGAGATACCTTTTCCTCCTCTTCTGCCTCTTGAAATCCTGTACAACCTTTAAGGTCTAACACAAATACAACCTCCTTCTTGAAGCCTTTCTCGTTCCTTTCTACATTACTACCATCTGTTTCCAGGTGTGAGCTAGTCATTTATTTAACAAATACTTGCAGAATTCTTATTATGTGCTTGATGCTGTGTGGACAGAAGATATACTATCTACTACAAAAGAGCCTGAAATCTAGTGTGTGTTTGGGGAGGCAGTACTTTTAACAAATAATTCCCCAAACAGAATAAAAAACAGGCTTTATTAAAAGAGGCAAAAATGGTGCTCCATGAAAAGATAGAAGGTACAATTAACTGGGAATGTAAAAGAAAGTTTCTCAAAAAAAGTAGCACTTGAATTGGTCCTTTAAAGATGAGCATTTCAATGAACAGAGAAGACGGAAAGGAATTTCAGGCCGAAGACATAAACAGAGCAGAGACTACAGAAGCTCCTGCCTCCTCTATTTCATTAAGAAATGCTGGAGTTGCTCAGGTTCTTTCTGGGCTCTCACCTCCCTCCACAGTCCCTCAGGGACCATGGCTTTAGGAGCCACCCATGCAGACAACTCACAAAGCATTACCTCCCCTTCCCAGATCTCTCTTCTGAAAGTCAGACTAGAATATTTAAATTGATTGAATATTCACTACAACTGCCAGGATGCTGTCAATTAAGGACTATAATCTAGTGGCTAAAGAAAAAGACAAAGTGAAATATAGAGAGGGTGCTGAATCCAAGCAGATTAGTAAAGGGAGAGTCCATGGAGGGAGTGAAGGCACTTACCAACTTTAATCAGAGAGCAAAAAAGCTGTATTACAATCAACCAATGAATTTGTGAGTTATATTAAAACAAGTCCCATTACTATGCAAAGGGGTTTGGTCCAAAAAAGTTGAGAATGGTCACACATAGAAGGTATACCCAGGTTCCTATGTTCTTTTCGCAAATCTATAACTCATAAGTTAATTCTTAATCTCAACTAGTATTGACTGCTCCCATTAGTTAAGTGATATTATAATCCTACAGTGTGAAGATATATTTATAGAGATAACTAAAAGTAAATCTTTGAGGATCTAAAAAAATAAATCCATGTACCATGTTCACAAATTGAAAGACTTCTTGGATAGGTATAAAAATGCACTAACCATACTGATAAACTGAATTCAACTGTAATTCAATTTTGTTTCTCCAAAGGCACTATTTAATCAAGATGAAGAGGTACTGGCATAAGGACAGACTTACAGATTGATGGAACGGAATAAGAGTCCTGAAAGATACATATATATATGATCAGTAGGTTTTCAACAAAAGTGCCAAGATAATTTCAATGGAGAAAGGATAGTTTTTTTTCTTTCCAACATATGGTGCTGGACCATATCCATATATTAAAAAATGCAAAAACAACACTTATCTCACAAGATACACAAAAATTATCTTTAAATAGATCATAAATCTAAATGTAAAGCCTAAAATTATAAAATTTCTAGAGAACATAGACCTTGTGACTTTGAATGAGACAATGATTTCTTAGATATGGCACAAAAAAGTACAATGCATAAAAGAGAAAATTAATAAACTGGACTTCATCAAAACTAACACTGCTCTTTAAATGACACTATTAAGAAAATAAAAGGATAAAAACACATATCTGATTTTAAAAATCTATATCCAGAATATATAAAGAACTCTTACAACTCAATTTTTAAAAGGCCAACAGCCCAATAAAACATAATTGGCAAACGATTTGAACAATCACTTCGCTAAAGAAGACATGAATGGCCAACAAGCATGTAAAAATATGCTCAACGTCATTAGTATTCAAGGAAGCACAAATTAAAACCACAATGAGAAACCACTGCACAAATGGCTAAAATTAAAAAGGCTGACAATGTTGGTGAGGATGTGGAATAGGATCTCTCATATGTGTTGGGAGGAATATAAAACGAGTATTTCTATAAAAACAACTTCTTAGAGTTAGACACAAAGCAGTGAGTTGTCTGAAGACAATCAAAAGTGAGCTTGTGTCCACTGTGGTAATTTAAGGATTCTTTCGGGGTAATGATAAAATCAAAAGCATTCGCCCCAAACACTTTTCTTTAACTCTTAAAGTAGACAGCCTTCACTGTTTTCCCTCTTGAGCCATGTATATATACATGTATTCCACAGCATCTAGAACAGTACTAAGCACAAGGTAAATTCAAACTGAACACCTGAGTGAATATTCACCAACCTTAAAACAATATTTCTTTTCAAATATTCTGAAATTTGTGCATTTTGTTGGAGATTTGTTTTCTCTCACCAATATTCTTGCTATCCAAGTTTTATATTTGGTATATGCAGATGTGTAAATTATCATTCAATCTAGGCACTAGATCTAAGATCAAAGTGAATGTTTAAGCTTACTTATGAGCATAAAGATTTCTGTATTAGAAAGTATCACCACTACTGAGCTCTCAAACTATAAGAGCTAATCCATTTAAGCCAGTCGACAGAATAATCTTTTTTGTTTCACTTAAACACAGGATTTTGTTTACAGACATTTATTTACAGACAAAGGGTATAATCCCATGTGTCAAACCCATGTGTCAAGGGTTTATGCCCACAAGAATCAAAGAGGAAAGGCCTCTGGGAGCCCCCATGCAGGGGTCCAAGGCTGTATTTCCACCCAATATTTCCACTCAACAGCAAATATAAAAGCAAGTCTTGTGTAATACAAGTTGTTTATCTGCTCACCTCTCCTCACAGATTGTAAAGTGACTAAGAATACAGACCACACATTACTCTTCCTTGAGCTCTCCCACAGCTAGCACAAAAGCTTGCACTAAAAAAAGTACTCAAATGTTCACTGATAGTGACTAACAGTGACTAAAATTCACTCTAAGTGTATATACAGGTCTGTATAGAATTATATGATTATTTAAGTATGGGGAAGAAAGATTATTTAAGTACAGGGAGAAACATAGGACACATACTAGCTGTGAATAAGGCTTATCTGGGAGGGTAAAGGTGATAGTGTGTGCTGGTTGGGGGGGGAGGTATTTTATAACTACACCCCCTATGTAATATAATCCTATTTCTATAAAACTGTGTGCAAGTTTACATAAAGTAATGCAAAAATATTCTGGTGACCCTCCTTTTTTGCTTCACAGGGTGATGAGATTTTAGGTGACCTTTATTTTCTTCCTTATATTTTCATATTATTTGAATTCTTTACAATGGTATGTATTAAATAATCAGAGAAAGTTATTTTCACGGGGGGGGGGAGAATGCCCTGATATTTTTTAATGATCCCTAAATATTGTTATATTATTAAGAAGCTCTATACATGCAGTGTTGGTCTATCATATAAGTTAAACAAATTATATGTATTCTTCAAGAAAAAAATTTATACTGTGATGATTACTGGTAGCTATATCAATTATGTGTAAATATTATTTCAAGTCTTTAAAGCCATGACAAATTATTTCATCTGTGAGTCTTGGTTTTCCCATGTGTAAATTAAAGCTAATACCATCTACACTTCATAGTGTAGTCATGAAAATTAAAATAAGATAGTATAGGTAGAGCACCCAGCATAGTATCATGAATAAGTGGAAGCTCCAAGACTGTTTTCTATCCCA